CAGAAGGATCGCCTGAGCCCAGTAGGCAGAGGCTGTGGTGGCTGTGAGCATGCCACTGCACTCCAGCCTGGGTCACAGAGTGGGACTCCAACTCAAAAAACCAAGAAATTAGGAGACAGGCTGGGTCACTTGGCAGTAAGTAGAACGCAGAGCTAAGTAGAATGCCAACACAGGGCCTCCAAGGCATCCACGCCTCTGCTCTTAGCCATTGGGTTGGACCGCAGCCATTTTCCCAGGAAGGAAGGAACCCTGGGGAGAGGTAAAGCCCTGCCTGAGTAGTGTGGGCAAAGCAGGGACTTGATTTGAGAGAAGTGAAAGGATTGTTGAGCAAGAGAGAAGCTCTGGAAATATTAAATCCATGTTCCGTGGATTATTTTGAAGAGCATAACAAGGAAAACGTGTAAGCCACCCCCTCGGGAGTGCATCAGCTTATCCTTAGATTAACAGTGTTGAACTGAAGAAGACTTAGATGTCACCAAGTTGAGTTAAACTCCCTCACCTTGTACCTGTGGAACCTGAGCTCTGGGGAGAACGCTCTGTGTGAATGACCATCAGGGTCTCTGACACAGCTGACCAGTTCTCTCAGGAGCTTTGTTCCCCCATCCAGGGCTTTTCTGGAAGCCATGGTCCAAATAAATGGGCCAGACATTTACAGGGGTAACTAGGCAGAGAGCCAACCCTTTGCTCTCTTTATAGATAGGAGTCTATAAAGCTGGGAGTTTGTCAGTGGTGTATAAACCCAAATTGACACCGGGGACTTTATTCTTTTGCGATGCCTTCTTCCTTCTGGGCAACCCCGCTGTCTTTGATTTTTGTCTTCCATTTTTGGCCTTCACGTTCTCTTTACTGTGCCTGGTGGTGGACAAAGCAGGACAACTTGAGCACAAGAAGTTCAGGGCCAAGTGCCTTCCTAGGTGGGTGCCCCCTCAAGGACGCTTGTCCTGCTGTCTCCAGAACTGTGGGAAGTGAGCAGGGCATCCGATGCAAAAGTCCTCTGTAGAAAAACAAGTTTGCGACATCAGGGACTATAAACCGACTTCCTACTCTTGCCCTTAAAATGGTTTCCAGTGATGGGTGAAGACAGAGGAGGCTTACTAACCAATATGAGAAGAGAAACGCTGAAAGAGGTAATATACTGCTGGACAGAATCAAGATTTAGATGAACTTGATAGATTTAGATGTGGGGAAAAGCAAGATAGCACTCTGTAAGGATTAGTATAGAGACCAAAAGCGTCACAAATTGTTATGGCTGTGTAGATCCTGCTTTGGATCCAAAGAATTAATTCAAATTGGTTGCTTATGTAGAAACTCCCTGAAAGTGGACTTAACATTGATGTGGATGGAAGCTTTTGCTGCAGAGATCAAAGAAGCAGGCAGAGTTGCCGGATTCTGGCAGGCCCAAGCACACCTGAAGCACAGGGTCTACTCTGGAGGACTTGTTTTCAAGGGGCGCAGACAACGCAGGGACCTCCAGCTCAGTGTTGCCGGGCCAGGGGAGGAGTCAGGAAACCACAAAGAAAGACCGAATCAACTAGGGATGTCACCCTGAAGGTTTAGGAAGAGTCAGGAGTAGTTTCTAAATTGCCGAAGCAGTCACGTTTAAGGACCTGGATTTATTCCTCCACTTCTCTGGAGGGCAGACATGGGGTCAGCTAGAGGAAGTCACAGGGAGGCAGGCACAGTTCCACTGAAGAAAAAAATTCTCAAGTATTTGGATCCATCTCTAAATGAAGTGAGTTATCTGGTGAGTTAATGAGCAGCTGAATCAGATCATCTTAAAGTCCCTTCAACTCTAATAATTAATGATTTATGATCTTCCATGCCACGTCTAATTCATGTAAAGAGAGCCACTATTAACCTGGTATAAATAGCCTTTCAATGTTTTCCATGCATATCCACATATATTATTTATTCATATTCTGCATACTTTTAAAAAAATAAAATAAGGAGTATTCTGTGTATACTACATTATAATCTGATTTGTTTTATCTGACATACAGTAAACATTTTTCTGTGTCATTAAATAGTGTTTGACAACCTGACTTTTATGGACCACATGGTATGGATGCTTCATAATCACGCAACCAGCCCCCTATTTGGGGCCCTTACCTTATCTGCAGTTTTTTAATGATGATAAATAACCATGTAATAAACCTTCATACTTTCTTTTCAGCAAAAATTGGCTCATTTTAAGGACGTCAGGTTTCATGAATACATCAAACAAATCAAAAATCAAACCAAATAAAGGGAACTCAACTTACTCTTGACATTTTAAAAGCATTTAATTTTTCTTAGGGTTTTACTTAGCCTGGAAACATTTTGAGGCAGGAGTTTTGGCTTTTAAATGTTCTGTGCAGCAGGGAATACATCATTCTTCTTATGTGTTGGTTTTTTTTTTCTTTTTTTCCATTTATAAAATCTGCCCCTTCATGTTAGAACCGCCTTAGGGTACAAATAGAAACTATAAAACATTTAATTAAATATATAAGGCAGAACACTAGTATGGAGCTTAATCAATGTTAATGACAATGTGAAATATAATAGTGACTTTTGAAAATGTAGGAGAGAACCTTTGGTTAGTTTTTAACATAAAGGATATGAAGTATTTCAAATTACAGTTCAGCATAAGTAAGAGGTACCATGCATGACCACACTCGATACCAATGGCATCATTTTAAATTATTACTTTTTACTTTCCCTATTTATTTCATCCCACAATTCTGAGATGAGCAGGCTGAAAGCAAAACACTTAATTCAAGAGGATTTTCAGACCAAAGATCAAAAAGCAGGTGTGGGGAGGTAGGAACCTGTTTGACATGGCTTCCCTTTGTAAATAATGATTTTTTTTAATCGATTCAAGTCCATTTATTTTCGTGTCTCATGGTTTAGACAAGTGTGTGTGTAGAAAGCAATGCATTTGCACATAAAGCCCTTTTGCATTTATAATGTAGGCAGAAGCCCAAAGCTGAGTCCAATCTGATTTTTCGAAAGAATGAAAACACGTTTTTAAGGCAAGCCACCCTTACAGAAATCTCTAAAGAGGATTAAGGAAGACAGAACACTCAAGTTGGCAAAATCTTCAGGAATAAATCACTTTCTTGTTATCTGAGAAGGCTTTCTCTGGCTGAGCATTTGTGGATGGAAACAGGGTGGCAAAGAAGGGATCTCAAGTAAAAAAAAAAAAGCCACCTGGAGAGCTTTAAAGGACATATTCTAAGGCTTTAAGACAGCCTTACCCACGTCACACAGTCACTTTCCTCATGGTAATTTAGTATTTTTTAGAAACCTTGTATTTGAGAATCTATGACTCAGAATAAGTCTTTAACATGCTCCATCCCTAGCAGAAAGGGCCATCCCTGTGTCAACATGGAAATCAGAATTTTAGCAGTTGGCTTCCGAGGTGACTTGTCTTGTTGTGTTTTTCCAAGCGGAGGAAATGAATTGTCCTTGCGGTTAACATTCTTTAGGAACCTGGCATCAAGAGATCTTCTCAGTACACTCTATGGCGTTTGTCAAATTGAGGAAGAAGAGATGCCCCGACCCAGTTCTCACTTCTTAGAGCCCAGTCATGGTGGCAGTGGCTGAGAAGATGGTCTTTTGGGCATAGACTGGTCCCTTAAAATATTTTGGGCATGGATGAAAGATGGGACAGAAATGAAAGGGGGAAGAAAAGAGGGCACAAATGGAGTACAAAATGCATTACCTCAGTGTATAGTAAAAAAATCACCCTTACCCAAAGAGAAGTCTGACTTTTCCCTTGGTCTCTGGGAGGTACTTATTCTAACCCTTTGGAATGTCATGCCTGATCAGAGTGTCTGTGTTTACCTGAGAGACAGGCCACCACCAACCATCAAGTCATGATTTTGGGTGGGGCTGAAGACTGAGGCCAGACACAGGGGTGGCCATCCGGGTGTGTGTGACTGAGCACAGATAAGGACTGAACGTCAAGGCTTGGGTGAGCTTCCTCGGTTGGCAGCACTTTGTGTGTGTGGCTTCCCAATGTCACCGGAAAGGGAAGCACTGTCCACACTCCACTGGAAGAGAACCATTAGCTCTGTTTGGGAAACATCCCTGGATTCTGCTCCATGTCGCTTCCCTTGGCTGATTTTATCTGCATCCTTTCACTGTGATAAACCACAAACATGGGTATACCAGCCTGCAGTGAATTCCTGAAACCGAGGGTAGTCCTTGGGACTGTTGAACTTGTAAATGGTGTCAGAAGTGGGGTGGTTTTGTGGATGGCTCCCTGACACGCACTCGGTAGCAATTCAGTTCTTTCCTTGGTCTTCATAATGGCTCACCTGTGAGCTGTGTCACCTTGTCCTCCTCCCATCTCTTTGGCTTCTGCCCCACCACTCTACGACCCAACACACCACCGCTGTATATGAGTTGCCACCAAAAGATTCCTCCTCAGCCTTCCACTGTCCTCTCCCTGGGAAACAGTCTGCCCTCGCCTGGCTATTTCCGCTGTGACTTCCCTCATATGTGAATATATTGTCTTTACTCAGACCATTCCCTTTGCTTTAAGTGTCCCCTTCTCCCTCATCCCCTCAAATCCTACCTGTATAAATATTTTTAAAAAGAAAGGGAAAAATTTCAATGTCTTGGGAAATTTATTTGAAATAAGCCCATTATAAATGGGTGTGATCTGAGGTTGTGATCTGTGTCTCTAATGGGAGGTAATGTGATAGAAACAGCATGGAGTATTGCCAACCAAATGTCTTTTGTCTATTTTTCAGAATGAGTGTATTATGCTGTTATTTTATTCTACCAGGGGTCTCGTTACCCAAACGGTGAGTTTTGTGATTAGTCCTCTGCACTCACAACCAGCACTGTCCTTACACCTAGACGACTGGATGGCAGTAAAAGTTTGTTTGGGATCTCACCTGCTGTAGGACGACTGTGTTTCAGGATCTGAGGTCTCTTTATTACAAGACTACAGATTGATGGAAACATAATTTGTTCCACTCCCAATTTTTAAAATATATTTTTTGCTTACCCCCCCCTTCTCACGGCATATATAAGGAATAAAATGAAAATACAGACTTATGCAGTTGATGCCTGATAATGCCAAGACATGGAAACATGCAAACTACAGAGAACCCTCAGAGCTTTGGGTTGCTCATGGCACCACCAGACTTCCTTGGCCACCTGCTGCAGTAAGTATCGCTCTATCCCTTGGGTGCAGGTAGGGTCAGTGACGTCAGAGACTGGTCTTTAGCAGTGTATATACTACAGAGAATGAACTGTCACTCCAAGCCGCACACTGTCCTACAAGAGTTTTGTGGTGTTATGATTTACACATATAACATAAGCCATATTATTTATTTATTTTTATCTATTTTATTTTTTTTAAGTTATTTTACTTCTCAAAAACTTCTTAATACTTCATTTTCTTTTAAACACATGGGGTACAGATTAGGATTAGGTACATAAGTGGTCATTGTACAGGTGAAGTTGGGCTTCCCATTGATCCTCACTTTGCCTGATTTGGGACCAGGTACGCTTATTGATGTTATGTGTCCCCCTCCCCTAGCAGTGTTCCACTGCTGCCAATCCCTTTTTTTGTAATATTATGGTAAATGTTCAGGGTCCACTTATGAGTGAGAGCACACGGTATTCAGTTCCTTGTTTCTGTGATAGGTCACTGAGTATGATCAACTCTAAAATCCATCCAAGTTGTTGCAAAGTCCATATTTTGTCCTTCTTTATGGCTGCATAATATTCCATTATGTATACATACTACATTTTTTTATCCAGTCTACTTTTGATGGGCAGCAAACATGGTTGGTTCCATGTTTTTACTATTGTGAATAGTTTTTGCTATTGTGAATAAACATGCACACATGGGTATCTGTTTTGTAGAATTATTTGAGTTCCTCTAGGTATGTTCCCAGAAAAGGAATTGTGGGGTTGTATAGAAGGTTGATTATTAGATCTTTTAGAAATCACCACACTGTTTTCCACAGAGCTTGTACTGGTTTACACTCCCACCAACAGTATAAAAGTGTTCCCTTTTCTCTGCATCCTCTCCAGCATCTGCTGTTTTTTGAGTTAATGATGATGGCCATCGTGACTGGAGTTAGGTGGTATCTCAGTGTGGTTTTAATTTGCATTTCTTTGCTGACTAGTGAGGCTGAGCATTTTTTCATGTATCTGTTAGCTGTTTGTGTGTCTTCTTTTGAGAACTGTCTATTCATATTTTTGGCCTACTTTTTAATAGGGCTATTTGTTTTTTTTCCTTTTGACATGTTTGAGTACCTTATAGATCTTGGATGTTAGGCCTTTGTCAGATATGCAGTTGGCAAATATTTTTTTCCCATTCTGTGGGTGTCTCTCTGTTCTCTTGATTTTTTTTTTTTTTTTTTTTGCTTTGCAGAAGCTTGTCAGTTTGATGAGATCCCACTTGTCTATCTTATCTCCTATGGCATGGGCTTTTGGGGTTTTGATTAGGAAATGGTTGCCTATTCCAATTTCTGTAAGGGTGTCTCCTGCATTTTCTAAGATTCTTATAGTTTGAGGTTTTACATCTAGGTCTTTGATTCATTTAGAGTTGATTTTTGTGTACGTAATAGGTAGGGGTCCTGTTTCAATCTTCTGCATGTGGTCAGCCAGTTTTCCCAGCACCATTGACTGAATAGTTTCTCCCCTTCCCAGTGGTTGCTGGTGGGGGCTTTGTCGAAGATGAAATGATAGAGAAATTGGAGTTTTGCTTCTAGAACCTGTATCCTGTTCCATTGATCTATATTCCTATTTTTGTACCAATACTAGGCTGTTTGGGTTATTGTAGCCTTCTAATAAAGTTTAAAGTCCAGAAGTGTGATACTTTTTGCTTTGTTTTTTTGTTGTTGAGGATTGTTTTGGCTATTCTTGGTCATTTATGTTTCCATATGAATTTCTGTATTGTTTCCAGGTCTGAGAAGAAGGATGTTGGCAATTTAATGGGTATTGCATTGAATCTGTAGATTGCCTTTGGTAGGATGGATGTCTTGACAATGTTGATTCTTCCAATACATATACATGGAATCTTTTCCCACTTGTTTGTGTCTTCTTTGATTTCTTTTTTTTTTTTACCTTGATTTCTTTGAGCAGTATTTTCTAGTTTGCATTATAAAGGTCTTTCACTTCTCTGGTTAGGAAGATGTCAAGGTATTTCTTTTCTTTGTGTGTGTGTGTGTGTGTGTGTGTGTGTGTGTGTGTGTGTGTGTGTGTATGTGTGTATGTGTGACTATTGTAAATGGGGTTGTGCTTTTTATTTGGCTCTCTGCCTGTTTGTTGTTTGTGTATAAAAATGTGACTGTCTTTTACACATTGATTGTGTACCCTGAGACTTTGCAAAGTCCTTTATCAGTGCAAGAGGTTTTTGACAGATTCTCTTGGATTTTCAAGGAGTAGAATCATATCATCCACAAAGGGATAACTTAATTTCCTCTTTTCCTATTTGGATACTTCTGATTTCCTTCTCTTCTCTGATTGCTAGAGCTAAGACTTCCAACATTATGTTGAACTGGAGAGGTGAGAGTGGGTAGCCTTGTCTTTTTCTGGTTTTCGGGGGGAAACGCTTCCATTTTCTGTCTGTTTAACAATATGTTGGCTGTGGGTTTACCATACTCTTACTGTTTTGAGGTGTGTTCCCTCTATGCCTAAGTGTTCAAGGGGTTTTATCAGGAAGGGATGCTGGGTTTTGTTGAAAGCCTTTTCCGTATCTAATGATATAATCATGTGGTTCTTGTTTTCACATGTGTTGATATATTGATTTACATTTATGGTCTTGCAAATGTTAAACCAGTCCTGCATCCCAGGGATGACACCTACTTGGCCATGGTGGATAATTTTTGAGATGTGTTGTTGGATCAAATTTGCTAGAATCTTGTTGAGAATTTTTGCATCGATGTTCATCAAGGATATTGACCTGTAGTTCTCTTTCTTTGTTGGATCTTTACCCAGTTTGGGTATCAGTGTGATATTAGCTTCATAAAATGATTTGGAAAGAGTTCCATCTTTCTTGATTGCCTGGAATACTTTCAATAGGATTGATACAGCTCTTCTTTGTATGTTTTGTAGCTCCTCCTTTTATGTTTTTCTGCTGGAAAGCCATCTTCTCCAGGGCTGTTTTTTTTTTTTTTGTGGGTATTTTTCTTATGATGAAGTCAATTTCCTGGGTTGTTACTGGTCTATTTAGGGTCTCAATTTCTTCTTGTTTCAACCTTGGGTGGTTGTGTGATGTCAGAAAGTTCTCCATTTCATTTAGGTTTTTGAGTTTGTTTCCATACAGGTGTGCATGGTAATCGCTGGAAATCTTTTGTGTTTCTTCAGGGTCAGTTGTTACTTGATGTCTTGCATCTCTAATTGTGTTTACTTGGAATTTTTCTCTCTTTATCTTAGTAAGTCTGACTAGGGGTCTATCAATCTTGTTTATCTTTCCAAAGAACCAGCTTTTTGTTTTGTTGATTTTTTCTATGATATTTTTGTCTTCTATGTCTTGTATTTGGGTTTTTACTATGGTGATCTGGATTTTTTTGCGGAAGTTAGGGTTTTGGTGGTCTTGCCTCCTTAGGTGATTTTTTTAGGCTGTTAACTTGTGATCTTTCCATTTTCTTGATGTGTGTGTAGAACTATAAATTCCCCTCTTAGCACTGGAATCCATAGCATCCTAGGATTTGATAAGATGTATCTTCATTTTCCTTTGTTTTCAGCAGTCTTTTAATTTCTGTTTTGATTTCTGTGTTGACCCAGGAGTTGTTCAGCATCATACTGTTTAGTGTCCATATCTTTGTATGTTTGGGGGGTATTTTGTTGGTGATATTTAATTTTTTCCACTGTGGTCTGAGAAGTTGTGTTGCAGTATTTTGATCTTATGACATTTGTTTATGCTTGTTTATTGCTGAGGATGTGGTCAATCGTAGAATATATTCCATGTGGTGATGAGTAGAATGTATATTCCATGGTTGTTGGGTGGAGAATTCTTTAGGTATCTACTAAGTCCATTTGGTCAATTGTCAAGCTGAGGTTCTAGATCTCCTTGTTGATTTTTTTCCCCAATGATCTATCTAGGGTTGTTAGTGGGGTACTTAAGTCCTCAGTAATCACAGTGTTAGAGTCAATATCTTTTTTTAGTTTATTTAGTAGTTGCTTTATAAAACCTACTGCTCCTTTGCAGTTATGTTTGGGATGGACAGTTCTTATTGATGAATTGAATCTTTTATCATTATGTTGTGTCCTTCCGTATCTTTTAAAATTTTTGATAACTTGAAGGTTGTTTTTTCTGATATTAAAATCGTGACTCCTGCATTTTTTTTTTGTTGTTTTTGTTCACCTGAAAGTTTATTTTCCGTTCTCTAACTTTAAGTCTGTAGGTGTCCTTTGTAGTGAGATGTGTTTCCTGAAGGCAGCATATTTTGGGTCATGCTTTTTTATCTACTTTGCCATTCTATGTTTTCAGTGTTGCATTTAGTTCATTTGTGTTCAGGCCAATTATTGAAATGGGAGGGTTTATCCCTGTCATGAGGCTCTTATAAGGTTGTTTTGTTTTCTTTTAACTTTTGGGTTGACATGTGTGTGTATTTTCAATTTTGAAGTCACAATGTAAGCTTTGTTGATTCTATGTCTTCCTGCAACTTGGGAAGTGCATGGTTTTTGTTTGTTTTTCTTTCTTTTTTTTTCTTCTGTGCTAAATACCTTCTGGAGCCTCTCCTGTACAGTTGGTCTGGGAGCAGCATAATCTTTTAGGGATTGGCTGTCTGGGAAGGATTTTAATTCTCCATCGCTGATAAAGCTGAGCTTGACTGGATAGGAAAATCTTGGTTGAAATTGTTTTTCTTTGAGGACTGTGAAAATTGGACTCCAGTCCCTTCAAGTTTGTAGTGCTTCTGCTAGTACGTCTGCTGCTATTTTGAATGATCTTCCCTGGTAGGTAGTCTGACTTTTTTCTCTCACTTCCTTTATAATTTTTTTTCTTTTATACCTACCTTGAATAGGTGAATTACTATATTTCTAGGGGCTAGTCTTCTCATTTGATATCTTGTGGAGGTTCTCTGAATCTCTTGTGTTTGGATGGTCACATTACTGCTGAGCTAAGGAAAGATTTCTTGGGTAACCTCCTGAAATACTTGTTCCAGGGTATTCTCCATTTCCCTTTCTGCTTCTGGGATACCAGTTA